GATTACTACCAGTATATTTGGGGAGATCTGTAACCAGTGTATGTATATCATCAAATTGGTGGTCTACTCACACTGTGAAGAAACTACACCTTTTGATTTTCCTTGTTCGGTAGATAAAACTACCGAACACGACCACCCCTCTGGCTCATTGACTACAAAGCAAACTGCAAGTTAAGCGCTCTCTCTGTGTGGCCGCCGTTTGTATAGTCGAATGCCACGTGCAAAAGAAAATGGCGGCCATCTTGTTCGGACAAAAGGAGGCAGTGGGACTTGGTTGTCGAGTGTCTGGAACTAAAATCGGACACTCGACTTCCCGAACACCGGTCAACTACTCGAACGTCTGCTTCCTTTCACGTACCAGCCAGGAGAGCGCTATTCGGTAGTTTTGTTCCCACAAATTAGGGGAACAAACGCTACCTATGAGCCAGGGGAACCGTTCGTGGATTTGTTAGTTTTTTAGACTGTACAAAATAGACCGACCGCTCTGCCTAATTTCATGGAACTATTTCTGGGCAGGAGCCTCGTGTGTGGTCGGTCAAATTAAGACATCCATGGACCCCCTGAACTGAGCTGGATGGCTTTTGAATATGTTGATCCCCCAGATCAGAGCTATCAGGGGGTATGACTTTTGTGGGGTTTCCATGGAGTTTGGAGTACTTTCTGTGTTTTATGGAAATATGTGTTTTGGAGATAATTGAGTTTTTTGTATAGTGCTTGACTCTATTATCTCCCAGGCACAGGGGAAGGACTATATTATTGTATGTAGGAGTGTCTTGGACCTGAGAGCCAATGTAACTGCAGAATGTATTTTGTCATTGTCCCCTCTCAGGTCCAGTGGGAAATGCCCCTGGAATATGTCACCGTAAACCCTGTACATTTGTAACTGTATATTAGCCTGAATAAACCATTCCTGTTGTATCCTTCATGTAGTTTAGGCTGATGTTTGGGTATCTGTCTGACTTGCTTGGGATAGATACTTGGATGCTGTACCTCGTCTGGAGAACGTTCAAATCAACACCTAGCAGTTCGGGAGGAAACAGACGCAATACCAGCAGTCGTTACAACTGGTGGCAAGTGGCGGTATTCCTAGCCCGAATGGATGTCCTGAACCAAAGGAAAAGTGAGTGGCACAGCAATATGAACTACTGAAACGAACGACATTAAAGGACTTACTGGAAGCTCGAGGCACAGTGTCAAGTAATAAGACAAAAGCCACGTTAATCACAGAGCCAGTAACAGGGAAATGGAGCACCTGGAGGAAACAGAATTCCAAAAAGAGGTGAGATGGATGCTCAGTATATTGGGGCCCAATCAATCGCAGGACCCCATCCTACAGGTCATAGCGGTAGCCATGGAGACGCAGAGAGCTCGGGAGTCAAGAGCAGGATCACTGCAAGGGGATTTGATAGCACCCCCAGGATGTACAAATGGGCAACCATGGAAGGTAAACTATGCCGCTTTTAAAGCATTTACTAACGGTGAAATGGATAT